GTTGTTGGATTCATATAAAACTCAGTATCATCTATGAAACCTTGATCCATCGATATTGTATATTTCATCCCCAACTTTTATATAAGCCATTTTTCTGCTTAGGTTATTTCACACAGTAGTAGGTACATTTATGTTTTGTTTGAGTAGCCAGTGGTAGTAATAAAATGACTACGTGTCTCTCATACGAGAATTAAGTTGCTAAATGAAATAAAGATATAAGGAAAGTATTATTTTTTGAGTGTTTTACCTAACATGGTATTTGATTATATCACTTGGATTGACAATCCAACTGTTGTACAGTCAATTGATTTCCTTTTGTGGCATTAATTGCTTATATGATGCAAATTCCCTCGTTTTATGATCTGAACATATGTCTACTTCAAAACTGCGTTTGTTCAAGTCCTGCCTTTTGCTGAACTGTTTCGGAAAATTGAATCTAGGGTTATGCTTGTATTTCACATACGATCTTAATGCTTTTTATTGAGCACTGATGAAGTTTTTCTTGTCAACTAGTGATGACTGAGTCAACTATGAGTCGTTGTGTTTGGACCTGCTTCTTTGCATATGCTATAAAGTTTTTGGTCACTCAGATATTGGAGCTCATGTTATTGGGGCAATTAAGGCAAGGCTGGAGTCAAATTTCAAGCTCATTCTTGAAATCAGCATGATTTAATTTTGCATTCTCATCTTAATGTATAAGAAGTAAAATTTCATAGCAAGTATTTCTGACCTGTATATATGTTCCTTGCGATTCTTATATTTCTTAAAATTCTAGTGTGCTTCTGAACGCTGTTATTATGCTTCACAAATTTAGTTTTTCGAGCCGCGTAACGAACATCCATGTCTTGAATACAATATTAATAAACATGATCTTAACCTAAAGCCTTTTTTCCCAAACATCACTTGGCATAACATTTTGAGCGCCTTATCTTTTTTCATGTTTACTTACTGTACTTAATAAAATTCTATCATCTTCTTAATTATGGCATGAGTTATTTTAATAAAGCATCTCAATTATTTTGTATATTATTTGCTTCAAATTTTCAATTGTTTAACAAAAAAGTCAGTTTTAAAAAGGACGAGATTTAAAAAATGGTTAAAGATTGGATTAAATATGATTTTAGTCCCTTAAGTATCATTGTTTTTTGGTTTTAGTCCCTACTCAAAACTTTGATGGCTTTTAGTCCTCTTAGTATTGAAACATGTAATATTAGTCCTTAAAAATGGACGGATGAAGTTTTTGTTGATCTGGCAAACGGTGAGGCTATGTTTTCTGCCAGCTTTTGTCTTAAGTATCTGCCACGTTGGTTGTTTAATTAATGGAAAGAGATTAAGTGATTGGCACGTGTGTGGGCGATTGAAATCAGATTACGAATTAGGGCTCGAAACCTTCGAATTGGGGAAAACTAGTTTCTAGAAACATTGTATTGGAAACCTTCCACTCAAAGCAGTCCTTGCGTTGGTCCTTGCGGTGGTCGTGAAAGAAAAGGTGGTGTGAAAGACAAGCGCATAGTATCAAGGTAAGTTTTTGTTTATCGGTTACCATTGGTTGGTCAAAATTTGTGAGTAAAGTGTTAATGTCTGAATGTAGGTCTAGAAATGGTTTTCGAAGTTTGTTTGCATCACATGGGTAAGTTTTTTAGTAATAAGGGTCTATAATATGTTGGAGGAGAGGTACATGTGATTAAAGGACTTGATCCATATCGTTGGTCTTATTTTGAAGCAGTTGTAATTGTTAAAGAATTTAAGTATGATGCATACTTCAAACTATGGTGGAAGGTGTCCAAGGAAAGGATGATGAATAATCTGAGATTACTGAGTGATGACAGGGAAGCACTGAACTTGGCTAACTATGTAGAGGAGAATAAGGATGAGGTAGAAATCTATGTTGAACATGTTCCCAGTGAGGCAGTGGAAGTTCACTTTCTTAGTTGTGGTGAAGAGGCAGATGAAGGAAACATAGAGGACATGGAGGAAGTGGTTGAGATTGTAGAAGACGGTGGAATTTGTCTGGAAGAGGGTGATGTTGTTGAGGAACATGAAGAGGTTGAAATGGGTGAGGAAGACCAACAAGAAGGTTATGGTGGTGAGGAAGAGGTTGACTGTGATGTTGGTGAGGAACAAGAAGAAGTTGCAATTGGTGAGGAAGAGGTTGAAATTGATGAGGAAGAGGTTGACTGTGATGGTGGTGAGGAACAACAAGAGGTTGAAATTGGTGAGGAAGATGTTGACTGTGATAGTGGTGAGGAACAACAAGAGGTTGAAATTGGTGAGGAAGAGGTTGACTATGATGGTGGTGATGAACATCATTATCTTCATGAAGAAGAGGAATGGGGGAATGTGGTTGAGAGGGAAGTAGAAGCTTCAGCTGAACATTGTCTGGATGAGAGTGAAGAAGATAGAATGGCTAATGATGATGATGAGTTTAGTGTTGAGAATGATAGGGTTGACCATGTTCGTAGAAACATTAATCCAGTTTTGGATAGGTGGAATGCAATGAAAAAAAAAAGAAGAAACGTGTGATTAGAAGAGGCAATGTTGGGGAAGGTTCATTTGTAATGAATGAAGAAGTTGGAGAGCATGACATTAATGAGGATTACAATAGTGATGAATTGGATTCAGATGTACAAAGTGATGAGGATGTGAGCTTGAAAAGGGCCAACTTTAGAAAGTTTAGAGAAGATGATATGAACAAGAACTTCAGATTCGAATTGGGGATGAAGTTTTGTTCATTAAAGGAGTTTAAAAATGCACTAATGGAGCATAGTGTATTAAATGAAAAAAAGATTAAGTTTGTCAAGAATGATCTGAACAAGGGCAGTTTGTAAAAACAAATGTGACTTTCTTATTATGGCTAGTAAGGTAGGAGGCAAGCAAACATTTAGGGTCAAAACCTTGGTTGGACGACACAGATGTGGAAGAGTTTTTGGAAACAAAAGTGCAAGTGTAAATTTGATTGCTCTAGTATTAGTAGACATGTTTTTAAATGTGGCTAACATGACAGTCAATCAAATCATTGATGACATTAAGAAGTCATTCAGTGTTGGTATAACTGCTTGGAAAGCTGGAAAGGCCAAGCAAATTGCTTTGTATTCTTTGGTTGGTGATGGAGAACGACAATATGGTCGTCTATATGATTATGTGGGGTAATTGCTAAGGGTGAAGTCTGGAACCTTTAAAATTAAAGTCAATCAACCCGAACCAAGTTTGCCACCAAGATTTGGCACTTTTATATGTGTTTAGAGGATTGTAAGCAAGGTTTTTTAGGAAGTTGCAGGCCCTTCATAGGGGTAGATGGTTGTCATCTGAAGACAACATATAGTGGTCAATTGTTGGTGGCAATTGGCAGAGACCCCAATGACCAATGTTTCCCACTAGCTTCTGCAGTGGTTGAAAATGAATGTTGGAGATGGTTTTTGACACTACTTTTGGATGATATTGGTGGCACTGATTGTCAACGTTGGGTGTTCATTTCTGATCAACAAAAGGTATTTTAATTTTACTGTCATCATATTTTTTTTCTGTAACAGTCACTGTATTTAGCATAATTATTTTGTGTTTTGCAGGGACTAATGACAGTTTTTGATGACATCTTGGATGGAGTGGAACATAGATTGTGCTTAAGGCACTTGTATAACAATTATTTACAACTTCACTTATTTACACATTCATAATTATTTTCACAACATGGATTCTAATGTCACTTACTCTATTTACAGAAGACAAGGGGCACTTCAAGTGCAGCAGGATCTGGTAGCAGGACGACAACTTCCACCAATGTAGGAGGTTTTCAAGCAGAAGAACCTCCACCAATGTCACAAGGCGGACGAACATCAACAAGGGAGACTTCTCAACTAGGAAGACCTCCAACAACATCACAACCTGGAACATCATTCAGTGGAGTAGAAGCTGCATCATGTCACCAAGCTGGAAGAAGAACATCTAGGATCCGAAGCTAGTACCACTTGAAGACTTAAAATGGTCCTTTAAAACTTCAGTTTAGATTAAAAATTTGTTAATATTTTTACGTCTAGTGACTTTTCCAAAATTTAGAAATAGTGTGGAAAACGTTCTTATATAAAGACTTTTCATTTGCATTCACACAACTTATTATTTTCATGTGAATGATTTTCTTGTGTTATTATAAGGTGAGGATAATTTAGATTTCAATATTGATATGTTGAACTGTCAAATCTTTGAAAAATAATGAGTAATTTGAATGCTTTTCATTATTTTCCCAAGAAATAAATATAATCCAATTTCACTCCTTTTCAGCTTTGATTGAAGCAACCAGCCGTTTGGGGGAACCTTATATTTTTGTTCTGGAGATTGTACCTCCCTTTAAAACAATAATATTACAGTTAATAATTAAAATGACCAGCACTTATAAATTTAAGGATAAAAAGGAGGGCTTTGTTTTCTGGTGAATGAATATCACAACTAATTTCAGTAATTTGCAAATGAAACAACCTTGTTGATGCCCTAAGAAACAAGAATCTAATCTCATAATTGTTTGTAAACCCTATATTCACGTAACAAAAGTAACACATACAACGACTGACAATCAATAAACCTAAATAATACATTATACATTATAGAACACTTTGCTTCAAATATAATCCAAGGTAAAAATTTATTGAAAAAATTAAATAAGTAATGTTTATCCAAACATATAATTTTCAATAAATTTTAAACCAGGAGGAAAATATATTTTCAAAATAATGTTGCTGGCAATTCTCGATTTAATTATATACCCATAAGAAAAGCTTAATTTTTTTCACCATTCGGATACAAAATTATCCTCGACAACTTGCAATATTATGATTTTTTTTTCTGATTTATTTAGTGCGGGGGGGGGGCAAGTAATTTGATTGTAGAATATTATAGCAAGCCTCAACAGAGTGGAACTGGTGTGCATGTGCTTTGAACAAACAGCACAGAGAACCTGAAACTACAAACAAGTATCTTGAAGTGCATGTGCTTTGAAAAAACATTCACAATTCATAAATGTGCATACTTTCAATATATTGAAGTAATTTGTACAGGATCCTAACTCATTTGTCTATCAAAATGTCAAGATTCAAGTTAAGGTGGGAAAAATGATCCTGAGAAAGGAGGAGTCCTTGAGGATGATGACCGATAATATATATATATATATATACGAGTGCCTGAAGTTCACAAACATCCTCACATCATTAGTGAATTTCCAATCCTTCATGATTAGGATTTCATCTATCATCAATCAATTCAGAACAATGTGGCTCTCATTTACTTGCAACATTAATGTAATTAGTGGGACTGTGCCTCCAATAGAATGTTGGTGGCCACATTGACATCATTTCTGGCCTGCACCAGGGCTTGCCTGGCATTATTTCTGTCAAAGCCCATCGAGACAAGTGTATTGATCGAGTCCTCCGATGGTTCTACTGCAGATTGCATTGGCGGGTAGTTTCTCTGCAGTACAAAGATAATACTCATTGTCAAGTGTAATAGAATCCTTCCTATATATTCCTTGCAGGAATGTTGTTGACAGATTAAATATTGTAAAGCCATAAATCACATCATCAAATTTCATCACAAACTTCTCAACAAAATCATTAAAACCAACTATATTTGATCAGAAAAAGTAGAGCCCAAGCATTTTTGGTTTCTTACACACTACTAAGTAGCTCTAGGGTTAGAAATGCTGAGTCACTTCTAGCTAAGACTAGGCTTGACAAGAATATAAGCTTGATTAGGGTTAGGGCAGCTTGTTTAGAACACAAGCCTAGCTTTTTTGCTCAAGAATAATAGCTACTTGAATGTGATATATCAAACTCAAATCGTATAACCAATCTTTCTTATTGTTTAAATGAAAAATACAAAAAGTAACATCAGACACAGACAAGCTATGAGCGAACTCAAACTTGATTTGATCAATTTCCAAATCAAGCATAGTTCATCAACTCATTAGCCTTGCATGTTGTGATGTTGATGAATCACAGTAAATAGACTGTAACGAGCTAGCTTAACTAGCCTTAATAAACAGCAACAAGTTCAGTTTGCCTTGAAGATATTGGAGGAACAGCTGCAAACGATTTGACACAGAAGTTGCAAGCTAAAATGCAAATGAATACTTTAATGTTGAGTTCTTAAGAGAATCGGCACTTTTTGAGATATTACTATATACACACAGCCAGCTACAAATATCATGGCAACATAGAAAGCTGATAGGGTGATCAAAATCATAAATTCATAGCTGCCTAAGATATGCAAATCAAACCATAAAAGAATTACGAGGTCACCAAGGGGTCACAGTAAAACTTGCCTCCATTTGCCGAGCTGGATGGGAAGGTAAATTCCCAACACTATGCCTTGTTGATGACGATGATGTTGCATGTGGACTTCCCATCGATGGCAATGTAATTCGTGAGAAGAATGACGAGATAAACTCTGGGAACTGTAGTGTAGGATCACATAAACAAAGCAAATAACCATTTATCAATATACTGTTTGAAATTTACACATTTAGATTATGGGGAAAGAAGCATAAAAGTGGAGACAGTGAAATAACAAGAGAGTTTAAACATAAAAAATAGTTTTTTACGGCTGTTGCACTTCATAATAATAGATGGCAATGTAATGGACAGTAACAAGACAAACATGAATATATTTCACATATCAGACTTGCATGAAGAGACCAGATGGACATCTAATACCAAAAGGCAATGAACTGAATTAAGACTTTGTCCGACACATATTGATAGTCAGAGAAAGTCTTAATTCATCATCACCATCCACCTCAAATCAGAACAATATATCAACATCTAGAATTTGGTTTACAGAATAAAGGGCAGGCAAAATCTGCAAAGTCTGCAAGTCCCATAATACCCATGAAGATTGCAGATGGATCTGTAAAGTTGTGGAGTGCATAGTAAGAATGAAAAGTTGTGATGTTCTATCCTAAAGCTGGCAGTGAATCTTAATAAAGAGTCAACTACTGCCATTGATAAGTTAGGAATTTAATCGTTTTTGCACATGCTCGGTTCAATAGACTTCGCACAAACCTAGATAAATAGACTCACTTGATAAAATCATAGTAATCAATCCTGGATAGTGGTGAATAGCAGCAAGCCCTTAAACACTAGGGTTGGATAGTGAACTGAAGGGATATCTGTTATAACTATTCTAAAATTTTGAGAAGACCACAAGCAAAAATGGTAAAGACAATACCCAACAGCTAAGACATGATCATAATTAATAATAAAAATGAGAACAGAGCATTGCCATGGGGATAGAAAAGAGCAGTCAGGCGAGAAACTCCACATCAACACCAGAAAACTTAACAAAGGTAAGGATTAGACATAAAAAACAGAGAGATGTCATGGAGAGACAACAAAAGAAAGCAATATCATAGACTGAACGTTGGGACTTGGTTGTCACCAGAACAGAGAGGAGAAATGGAAGAACAATCAAAAGGTGGAGGGGGGGAATGCCAAGTTTGCCTTGAAAATCCCCCTCAAAATGACATGGTTGAATCAAAACTGGGTATTCAGAACTACGCAAAACAACCTTGACAATTGTAGATCTTTATTCTGGCAATACCAAGGTTTCCTCCAAATGGAGAAACTGAAACACACATACAACTTCTGGTTATTCAAGAGAACTAGACTCTCCACTTCCCTAGATTTACAGAACTTCCAAAACAAAGATAAAAACTGCTAAACAACTGCCCATGCAGACTTTATAAAAGTCTGAGACAACAAAACTACCCCTCAGACAGTTATAACCGTCGGTCAGTTTTTATTCTTTCTAGTATAAACCTTCCCCTTGAAAGTATCAATACCCCTTCATGAAGTTTCACCTTGTCCTCAAGGTGAAAAGTAGAAAACCCTTATTGATGGCAGTAGCAGCTTCCCAACTGTTTTCAATGGGTGGGAGGTGTTATCAACTGTACTAACTACCTTCTTTTTTCCTTATTTTGTAAACTGTATCAAACCTAACAACACCCCCTCCATGATGATGCACCGTATCTTCAAGGTGAAAGTCTTGAAATTCTTCATGAATGCAGGTAACAGATTCCCCTAACTCCTGAATTTCCTCTTCCGAAATAAGCACGTATGGAGTTGTTTATTTTTGCAAGTATGATTAGGACCAAATTTTCATCACACCTGAAGTATAAGCCCTTTTTTTATCTTGCAATTCTTCTTGAGACAATTTTCTAAACGGTGCCCCTCCTTGTTAGGTCCCAGCATGAGAACTATTGATAGTGCTTATACAGCCACTGCGCTCTCCCCTGTTGGAGTTGGTAAAACCCACTAAATTTCCCCCTTCTTTGAGTAACTGCGAGTAGGTGACAACTTTCTATAGGTGTTACTTTGAAGCTGCACAATGAGAGATTCCTCTTTGGTGGTGACTCTAACCTTTTCTTCCACCATTTGAGCCTTCATCATTAACTCAGCAAGATTCTTGGGCTCATACAGCTTAGCCTCAGCCTTTATTTCTTCCTTCAAACCATTCAAGAATATACCAATCAAATAATCTTGTTGCATTCCTTCATGAACCCGGCATACTCTTCAAACTGCTCAATATATTCCCCGACTTGTCTTGTTTAGCGTAGGCCAACCAAAATTTCAAACGGGTTTTGCAGCATTGTTGGCTAAAATCTTCTAACCACCGCATCTTTGAAGGCTTCCCATGAGAGATGCAGATTGCAGGTTTCCCAGCATTGAAACCAATTCAAAGCTTTCCCCTCCAATGCCATCATAACAGCCTCCATTTGCTCCTCCTCACTAACCTCTTTCAAACAGAAACACTGCTCTAATCTATTGGTCCACCCATAAGCTTTGTCCCCTTTAAACAAATGAATGTCCAACTTCCTCCATTTGACAGAAATTCCAAAAGAACCTCCTCCTTCATTACCCCACTGTCCTCATGGCCATCCTTGGCAACAAAATCTTGGTCCTCTAGATGCTTATCATAGGATGTCAAGCGTTCAACCACCCTTGTCAATCCTTGAATCATCTCTTCCAACTGCTGGAAGCGGCAGTTATTCCGTGTTCTTGTTCTTGGACAATCTTCTTCAACCCATCCCACCGTACCTCCATTCTTGGGTTGACCATAACCTCCAATGGGCCCTCACTTCAACAGGAAAAAGGCTCTGGATACCAATGATAGGTATTTAGACCTATGCAAAACAACCTTGAGAATTGTAGATCTTTATTCCAGCAATACAATAGGATAAGATACTGGGTGATAGGATAGAAGGCAGGGGGAGCCGAACGGTAGGAGACAGGGGGAAGCAAACCGAACAGTCGAAGGTGGTGAAGAGTTGGAGCCGAACGGTTGAAAAGTGACTATCCGGACAACAGTTAGGATGGGCGGAAACTAATTATAGTAAATAAAATTATATCATAGGGAAATATTCAATATAAGTTAATTATAGTAAATAGAATTATATTCTACGGAAATATCCAGTATAAGTTAATTATAGTAAATAAAGCTATATTCTAAGGAAATATTCAGTATAAGTTAATTATAGTAAATAGAATTATATTCTAGGGAAATATTTAATATAAATAAAGCTAGATGCTATTGTTTAGGGCATGCTTTTAATTATTGAGTCTTGCTTACAGGCGGCTATGCATCCCGTGAGGGAGGTTATGCTCCCAAGTAACCGAAGGAGGTTATGCTCCCAATTATTGTTTACTTTTGTTTATTCAGATATTACCATCAATAAAAGAGATTCATTCGTCCATTATCATTCGTTCGTTGTTCTATTACGTGTTGTGAGTGTGTGAGAGGTTGTTCTCATTAGGTTTCGTACCCAAGTACGTAACACTAATAGTCAAATACTTGAAAAAAAAATGATTTGGTTTTACCTATACGAAGCAATGTTCAAAACATGCATAACATGAAAAGTGATTTAAATCAATTTGACCATGGAATCATGAGTAATTAATATGTTGACTTTTGTGCTCAATTTTGAAAATTTTAAAATACAATTATGTAATTATATGAATGCATATACATGTGTATGTGCGTATGTGACTGAATATAAAAGATGCTTAAATAAAATAAAGGACCAATTGTATTTAAAATATCGATATTGCATTCAAAATTTTATAATATAAACAGCCACAAGTATGTAGTGTATGAATATAGGGACACAATCTGATAATTTAATTATAATTGATATGTTGAACTTGCTCACCAACTTTTTAAAATTCAATAACCTTGACGGATCAAATGGGTTATTATGAGCTTTTCCTTGACAATTGTGACTTTTATTAATCTAAAGATACATCAAATGACCAAACATAATGTGAATGATGGAACTTTGCAATCAGTAAGACAGATGAAATATTCATCCTAGTAAATGTGATTAATTTTAACAATATCAATGAAACCTGATGCCATATATAAAATTTTATATACATATCTTCCTTAGAGAAATCTTGCATCCATAATAAAAGGTGAAGATATTACAGGACATTTAAATGCCATAACACACAATTGCATAGATCTAAAATAAAATTAGAAAGAAAAAAAAGAAACTCAAATTTCATACTTTAATTTACCTTTGCTTTACGGATATAAAAGACATTCAAACGGTACAAGGAACCAGCAAGGATGCCACACATTCCTGGTAAGATGGACCTTTTCCATGATGACAAAAGAAGCTACAATAGTTTAAATTAAGTTTTAGACACTGAATGATTCTAGAAATGCAAGTTATAAAATAAGCACCCAGAATTAAGTTCAACAATACCTGAACACCGGCTAGATATATGAATGACTTGTCTGAGAAGAAGAAGCTAAAAACACGAAACCGTGTTGAAACCGGAATGTCAAAGAAAAAAGGTACAAATGAAGCAAATATAAGGCCATATGGTCCAGGAGTGACTAGGTTTGCTGTAGGATCTGCAAAGAGTGGACATAAATCTATCAAACTCTTACATAATATGTATTCTTCATTTGACACTATAAAAAAGAAGGCAGAACATTCAATATCATTCAACATTCCCACAAGTAGGAGTACAGCTGAGAAAAACTATTTGTGAACTATTCAAGTTCAGCTTGTTGAATACTTGATCAAACATGTTTGTGTTTACAAAGCTTACAAGCTCAAGCTTGACTATAGACTCAATTAGATAGATCGGTCAAGCTCAAACTTTAGGTTTAACACCAGAAGCTCATGAATCACTTGTGACTGTATGTGTTCGTAAAATGATAAAAGGATACCACAGTGTTGTAAATTTATTTTTCATTCTACAAAAGTTCATAGAATTAAATGATTTAAACTGTGTAAATATTTAATGACACTATTCATAATTTAAGGAATAATTTCTTCAACCTAGTATGCATTACATTGAATTATATTGTTAATACCCAATGAATACATCCATTTTTTCAGGAAATAAGCCGATATCTCATTAATTGATTTCACAATAAACTAAGGGTGTAAAAGACAATTAGCAATTCAAACATTTGAAAGTGAGCTTATGTTTCAAATAATTAGGACCAAACAATTGCTCTCATTTGTTGTTTCTTGTATAAAATAACAGAGGCACAAATTTTAGATAAGAAAACTATGCACTTGGCAAAATATATTTTATCTAAATTATTTCCAAACTTCCATGTCTAAAGATTCTTTAGCCCATTTGATTTAAAATTCTGTTTCATCTTTTACCACAATTTTTAATCAAATGCTAAATCAATAGAGTTAATTAAGTTCAGCTCAAGCTTTGCATTATTAAACAAGTAACTAAAGCTTTAAATTTAAGTTCTTTAAACAGATGAATCAATACTATGCATCATATTGTTTTGCAAGCAAGGCTTGGGATTTATGTGCTCAACTTAGTATGACTCTTACACTTGCAACTTAAAATGGTATGCTGCTGCCGAAAATCAAACCATCTACAATAAACAAGTAATATGTTTCACGGTTTTCATCCTTCTTGATTGAAGATATAATCATGGGTTCGGGTGTTGATTTCAATTCAAAACCAGCTCACAATATGAAGATTTGATGTAGTTTGAGGAATCAAGATTTCATGCTTGGACAGATGAAGTATACCTAAAGAAGAACCCTTTCAGGCCTTCCAAAGGAAGTGATAGGGAAAATAGGAGATGGTTGGTTTATGAGAGAAGAAAGAGGGGAACTAAGGGGAACTAATTGTAACCGCTTAATTTCTTAGGACATTTAAGAGTGGGCGGTAGAGGTTGTATTAATAGAGGACATTTATATAGACATGTAAAGGAATTGTTTAGTTGTTTGACGGGTTCATACTTGTGAAAGAGGGTTATGCCTCTGTATTCTTTCTGTATAGATGCGATATTGTGAATAATATACAGATTCCCAATCTTTTTGGTGTTTTTTGGAGAGGAATAGAGTACTGGAATTAGGTTCCCAATCTAGGAACCTAACATTTGGTCCGACCTGCCGGATCATCCTATCAAGGAGGAGACACGAGCAATTGATGGAGGGAAGAGTGGTGGCAGTCGTAGGGCACTTGGAGGCGGTCGAGATTGCAATCGCCGAGACGAAAGCGGACACGGGGGCTCTACGTCGGGAGACGGCGACGATACGACAGGACATTCAAGCAATCTTGAAAGCGCTTGGAGAACGTAACCACAATCACAGAGACCAGCATCAGGACGAGAGTCAATCATCGGTGAACGATAATAAGGGTGGACCCAACGGTGGAGGGGGAAGAAGCGGAGAAGGTAACCAAGGGGGGATGGTCAATTGGAGGAAGCGGGTCGAGTTACCTGTATTTGAAGGGGGCGAGCCCTGGGTATGGATAGGCTGGGCTGAGAAGTTTTTCGAGGTCCAGAAGGTGGCTGAGGAGGAGAAGCTAGAATTGGCGTTCATTAGCATGGAAGGTTACGCCGGAACCTGGTTCCGATTTTGGCGGGAGAAGACCAAGAACCTTTCTTGGGACGGGTTGAAGAGGGCTCTGGGAATACGGTTCGAAGGAGGAACACGGGGGACGGTGTACGAAAGGCTGTCGACCATCAGACAGGCGGGACCGGTGGAGGAGTATATACGCGATTTCGAAGTTCTGGTTGGGCAAACGACACAAATACTCAAGGAGCAAATTATGGGTTACTTCTTGTCTGGCTTACGGGAAGAGGTGAGCGATCATGTCAGGCCTCATGGCCCAACGGATTTGATGACCGCCATGTGGGTGGCGAGAGATGTGGAGAAGTTGTGTACCACTTCCAAGGCAGGAGGAGGATGGTGTCCAAGAATCAAAGTTCTTGGGGAAAAACGACGGCTTCGATAACGCGAATAGACCCAAATCGCGACCCGACTGTGCGAGGAGTACCGGCTGAAAGTGTGGGGTCTGTTAAGAAAGACGCGACCCATGGGCAAAATAGCGGAATGGCTAACAGCGGCGGAGGTGATCGGAATGTTCGCAATCTTCCATACTCGAAGTATCTTAAACGGAGGGAGGAGGGACGATGTTTTAGGTGCGGCAGACCCTTCAGCCCCTACCATCGCTGCCCAGAAAGGGGTTTGAAAATGCTAATTCTAGTGGAAGAGGAGGAAGAAGCTGAAGGCGATGAGAGTCCTAAGTTGAACCTCGCTGCGATGGAGTTATCTGCGTTGTCCGCCAGCGGATTGACGACACCCAAAATGATGAAATTACGAGGACGCATTGGGCAACGGGAGGTGCTGGTGTTGATTGATAGTGGCGCGAGCCACAATTTTATTGATCGACAGCTGGTGGAGGAACTGAAGATGGCGGTGGCGGAGACCCAACCATACATGGTGAGCCTGGGTGACAGCCAGAGGAAGAGAATTAGTGGGTGTTGTGAACAGGTAGAGTTGGAGCTAGGGGAAGCTAAGCTTGTTGAACGTTTTTACCTTTTCGAACTTGGAGGAGTCGAGGTGATCCTAGGGGTGGAGTGGTTGGAGAAACTGGGAGAAGTTCTGGTGGACTGGGGAAAACTGAGAATGGTGTATCGAGAAGGAGGGAAGGAGGTGACGGTGAAGGGTGACCCCATGCTGGAACGTAGAGTAGTGGGCCCCAAAGCTTTACTGAAAATTGATAGGGTTGAGTCTTGGTACATGGTTTGGGAGTTGGGCTCAATGGCGGCCCAAAATAATAAAACAGGGATGCGGGCCTCACCGAAAATCAGAAAAGAGAGATGGAGATCCTTCTGAAAAAATATGACGTCGTGTTCACAAAACTCACGAAGCTGCCACCTAGCAGAGGGATAGAACACAACATACAACTTAAAAGAGGGGGTGGATCCGGTTAACATCCGGCCCTATAGATACCCACATGCCATGAAAGCTGAGATAGAGCACCAGGTCGCCGAAATGCTCCGCACAGGGGTGATCCGACCAAGCCACAGTCCATACTCAAGTCCGGTGATTCTGGTGAAGAAGAAAGACGGCAGTAGGCGTTTTTGCATAGATTACCGAGCACTCAACCGAGCGACGGTGCCGGACAAGTTTCCGATACCGATGATCGAGGAGTTGTTAGACGAGCTGGATGGGGCGTCCTATTTTTCGAAAGTTGATCTAAAAGTCGGGTATCACCAAATCCGTATGAGCGAAAAGGATGTTGGAAAAACGGCGTTCCGAACACATAAGGGGCACTACGAGTTCGTAGTGATGCCATTCGGGCTTACCAACGCGTCGGCGACCTTCCAAGGTGCGATGAACACTCTGTTCCAGCCCTATCTGTGCAAGTACGTTCTCGTATTTTTTGACGATATTCTGGTATACAGCCGCACCTGGGAGGAGCTTATTGAGCATGTAAAACACATACTCTCGACTCTGCAGCAAGATCAGTGGGTTGCGAACAGGAGGAAATGTGAGTTTGGACAGACCCAAGTTAAGTACTTGAGGCATGTTATTTCGAGCAGGGGTGTGGAGATGGACGACGATAAGATCAAGGCGGTAGTGGAATGGGAGAGGCCAAAAACTGTGAAGAGCCTGAGGGGATTTCTTGGGCTAACGGGGTATTACCGGAGGTTCGTCCGCAATTACGGCAAGATCGCTAGACCCCTGACAGAATTGCTGAAGAAAGGTGGATTCTCTTGGAATGAGAAGGCAGAGGAGGCGTGGATAATACTGAAGAGAGAGATGACGACAGCACCAGTATTATCATTGCTCGATTTCACACAACCTTTCCACATAGAGTGTGATGCGTCGGGAAGTGGCGTGGGAGTCGTGCTGATGCAGGGAAGAAAACCGATAGCCTATTTTAGCAAGGCTATGTCTGAGGGAAAGTTAAGCAAATCCATCCACGAAAAGGAAATGATGGCCTTGGTTTTGGAGGTCGTATCTTGTGGGGCAGCGGTTTATGGTTCATCCGGATCAGAAGAGCCTCCGTCATTTGTTGGAACAGCGTATCACCACACAGAACCAACAGGATTGGATCGCAAAGTTACTGGGATACGACTTTGAAATCGTTTATAAGGCAGGAGCTACAAATAAAGTTGCGGATGCTCTATCAAGGCAGTTTGAAGGGGAAGATGAAGGAGAGAAAGAGTTAAGGGTGGTAGCGAGACCTTTTTGGCAAGATTTCGGAGAGATAACATAGGATGTAGAGGGGGATGAGTTTTTATAGAAGATAATGGACGAAATTAGGAGAGATCCTAACACCCATCCCGTTTACACAATAGAACATGAGAGGCTCCACCACAAGGGTAGATTGGTGTTGTCGGCACAGTCAAAGTGGATCCCAAGGTTGATAGCCGAATTCCATGTAACACAAATGGGGGGCCACTCTGGAGTGTATAGGACTTACAGGCGTTTAGCACAATCATTATATTGGGCTGGAATGAAAAAAGATGTAACGGAGTTTGTGGCTAAATGTCTTGTGTGCCAACAACACAAGTACATAACATCTTCACCTCAAGGATTACTACAGCCCTTGCCGGTGCCGAACACAGTGTGGGAGGAGCTGAGTATGAATTTCATAGTTCGCTTGCCAAAGTCCCAAGGGTATGACTCACTCGTGGTGGTGGTTGATCGCTTAAGCAAATACGCACACTTCTTACCGCTCAAGCACCCATATTTGGCGAAAACAGTGGCTGAGGTTTTTATAAGAGAAATTGTGAGGTTGCATGGGATCCCGCAATCTATAGTGACCGACCGGGACCCGTTGTTCCTAGGTATATTCTGGAAGGAACTGTTTAAGAGTCAGGGTACGCAGTTAAAGATGAGCACCGTGTACCACCCTGAAACGGACGTCCAGACGGAGGTTCTAAATCGAGGTTTGGAGGGTTATCTTAGGTGTTTTTGTTCGGAGCAGCCCAAGGAGCCATAAGGTGCACCCCTTTTGAGGCCGTGTATGGGAGAGCGCCTCCCTCTTTGCATAGGTTCATTCCTGGTGAATCATTGGTGGAGGCAGTGAGTCAGGAGCTCCAAACCAGGGATGAAGCCCTGAAACAATTGAAATTTCATCTGGAAAGGGCGCAGGATCTCATGGTTAGGCAAGCTAATAAACGAAGGAAGGTTGCGAACGTGGAAGTAGGGGATTGGGTGTATTTGAAGATACAGCCTCATAGACAAACATCCATGCCAACCAGGCTCCATCCAAAGCTCGCAGCTAGATACTTTGGGCCGTTTCAGGTGGTTCAGAAGGTGGGGGTGAACGCCTGTAAGTTGCAGCAACCGGAGACAGCCCAAATTCATCCTGTCTTCCATGTTTCACAGGTGAAGAAGGCAATAGGAGAACAAAGGGTGGAGAAGGACTTACCACAAGACCTGCAGGCGGACGGACCTTCATTCTGGCCCGTAAACATCTTGGGAAGGAGGCAGCTGCAGGAAGGATGGGAGAGTGTGCCACAACTGCTAATTGAGTGGCAAGAAGGAGGGCCGGAAGGAGCCACCTAGGAACATGAAATAACCCTAAGGGAACAATACCCCGAATTCAACCTTGGGGACATGGTTGGTGTTCAAGGGGCGGGTATTGATAGGGAAAATAGGAGATGGTTTGTTTATGAGAGAAGAAAGAGGGGAACTAAGGGGAACTAATTGTAACCGCTTAACTTCTTAGGACAGTTAAGAGTGGGCGGGAGAGGTTGTATAAATAGAGGACAGTTATATAGACATGGAAAGGAATTGTTTAGTTGTTTGACGGGTTCATACTTGTGAAAGAGGGTTATGCCTCTGTATTCTTTCTGTATAGATGCGATATTGTGAATAATATACAGATTCCCAATCTTTTTGGTGTTTCTTGGAGAGGAATAGAGTACTGGAATTAGGTTCCCAATCTAGGAACCTAACAGGATGACTTCTCAAATAACGATGATTTGTCAAATACTTCTGATATTGGAGCTAGTTATTTGCTAGAATGAATAACAAAATGGAATGTTAGTTATGAGTCTTAGTAAGTGGGTTTATACCTATCTCAACCTTACAAAACTAGTTTATAAGGTAAAGTTTTCATACCATTTATATATTATGATTTTCCCATATATTATGAACATATATTTTGCCATATATATTATAATTTTGCCAAAGTCAATGTGGGATCTTCAACGCCTCCTCACATAGAGGAATGATAGTGGGAATGATATATGGGATTGGTCTTAAAGTAGCCTGATAACGATGAAATACAGAATGAAATAAGCTTTTTCTCTACAAAATAAGTTGATATCTTGAATATGATAATTTGTAGCTTATGATTATTATCATTAGCATCTCATATGATGGCAAGTTCCTGACAAACAGTCAACCACATACACTTCCATTCCTTAATAGATTGATATTAGAAAACGGCCACCAAATGTCAAAAAAGGTCAAAAGATGAGACGAAAAACAGTCAAGAAGAAGAATTCAGCAAGTGAACAGACATGAAATGCAGAACTGAACATTAAGCAAAATGTATCATAAGAAAAAAAATCAAATATAAAGATTAATCGAAGTTAAAGATTGAAAGAAAGTCATATAAAGATGAATATCGAGAATAATACCTTTTAAAAGTGCTACAGCAAGGACCTCAAGCAGTAGTGAAGTTAATATTGAGAACACGATAAAGACCTGCATAAGGGTGAACACAGAAATTTGAAACCACAAAAAATTTATATAGCAAAACATCCCATTCCCTCAACTATGTGCACATGCGCATTTTTAAAGTTGTCATGCGGATGGAGAACCAATGATGGGGATAGATATGGTAGCATTAACACATCAAGGCACACGTTGATGATCGATAGGTGGTTGGGACAAAATGTAACTTGTATTTTATGAGCTAGAACTTGGTTCCAAAAAATATATATAGATGTGGAACATAAACTCCTGAATTAACTTAGAAAAGACTACTTACTGAGTATTTATTGGAGCCTATCTGTCTTTCAAAGACCCTGAAATAATATAGCAGATACAGTCCAAACATCAACTCTGGCGTTGATGAGAAGGAAAATATGGACATAATCAACTTCCAAAGGCGAATTTTTCCAAAAATATCCTGCCAGAATGAGAAAATAACAGGTTAAGACACCATATTCAATGCACAATAAGTTCAGCTCTGTGTGAGAGATAACACAGTTCCAGTGCTTCTAGTGTTTAAACACTCGAGAAAGCAAATGTGGAACAAGTAGCATTTATTCTACCACCAGATTTGCTTACTCGTACCATTACCCTAACTACAATTCAAAGAGAAACAATGTAATGAATCTGAAACTCAATTTTAAATGGAGATTTTACAACGTGAATCAATCCTATATACCATTACCATCACAAGTTTACATGTTATGCCAGGAAGTTCTAAACAAATCCAAATCATTCCCAAAAACGGCCTTCAAATTAATGTAGGATCAAAATTAAATTTTCAAAACTAAGACCCAATGCACTATCAAGTCCAAAAACACACGAACATCACACAAAAACCAGTTACAAAATATTAAAACAACACATTGCACCGAGAAATTAAAAATAAAATGCAGAGGAGAGCACCTGATAAGACAACCCCAGAGTGCCGAAACGGCCTTGGATCCCAAAGAAGATTGTGAAAATAGCCGAAGCCACGATGAAAAGCCTTGTGACAGGAGCATTTGCTGTGAACACACAAACACATAACAGAGCATTTGAACAAAATGAACACGAATCGAAAAGGCAAAAGCTTCAACATAAAAAAACATAAAAGGGGTGTAAAAATGTACACCCCAGATGATTATTCAACTCGGAGAAGAGAATTGACGCACTGAAACCAGACGGGCCTCCGTTCATCTTCGCAGTGAAGCAGAAAGCAACGACCTTTGGACAGAGTGTTTTTTTGGGGTTTTTTTTGCCTTCTCTCCCGTTCTCCTTAGAGTTTCTGAGTTTCGTTTATAATGAATCAATTAATTTAATTATTTAATGGAATTAAAATATACTAATGGAAAAGAAAATATATAAAAAAGTGATTGAATGAGTTCTTTGGAATCTTCTCTTCTGTCTCATAACCTCTCCCATGGAAAGAGTAAGGCGGCTTACCCTTCCTTTCTTCTTAACGAGCAAATCCAATAAAAACACCTTATTTTAAGAATTTAAATACTTCAAAAGATTTCAAATTTGTCATATTTATTCTCATATGTGTCTCTATTTTACCAGATAATAAAAAATAAAAACTAATTATTCTAATTATTATTAAAATAAAATATTTTTAACTTTTTAAAAATATATTCTTACAAATTATTATAAAAAATAATACAAAGTATAAAGAATAAAATAATTTATATAATAATAATTAGTAAAAACATATGTATACACGTGTGTATCTACTTTTTTATAATAATAAAATTATAATTATGTAACTTTTTATAATTTGATTCTGTATACTTCTTATTAATTTTATAGATGATTTTTATTTATTTAATTTAAAAATGTTAAATTTAAAAAACCGTTAAATAAAAAATTTATTGTTAGTATAGGCTGAATAATTTATTTCAAGATTGAATTTATTTTTATAAATATATAACATCTAGATACAGTTTTTATGCAAATATGGTTCGGTATATTTGTAATTTTGTAATTATAAATCTAGAACAGTTTTTAATATTTTTTCTAAGGGTTTGACTATGAAAAAAATTAAATTTTTAAAATATTTTTCATTTTATTATATCTTTAATGATATATTTTTATAATATTTTATTTAATAATGTATCAAATTATTTTATCTTTTTCTGTTTTTTAAAATATTTTATTTGTTATTTGATAATATTATTTTTATTTTTATGTAAATTTGACCTTATTTATAAAATATAATAATTAATATTGATAATAAAAAGAATATAGATGTAGATATAAGATATATCTATTATCCAATAATAATGGAATAAGACAAAAAACATATATCCCCTTATAAATAAATTGAAAATAGTAATAAATTTTTATTTTAGGAATATGTATAAAATAATGAAACGTGTCTCATCCCTCTCCATTGTCGTCATCATCATTATATGATATTGTATGTTATATTTATATTTAACTATTATATTCGTGATAAACCAAACAATATTATATATATATATATATATATATATTAGATTATCTAATAACTTATGAATATTTTAGTAATTTAAAAAAGTTATTAGGTGGTATAGTGAAGCGAAAAAGGATGAAACATATATATATATATATCTTCATTCCAGTTTTCATACATAATTGTGAAAAAATTAAATATTACTCGTATTCATAACGTGAAAATTTCATATTAAAAGGAGACGTATCAAGACAATACTCACACAAACGAATTTTTTGTCATCCCCACACGTATCTTTAAGAAAAAAAAACTAATTTACTGTTAGAAACATGAAAGAAAAAATATTGTATTGACTTTTCTTCTTACATTAATATACTATTAAAATCCTTCTATAAATATAAGAGTCTTTTTAATGAAAATTATCGTGGTATCATATACTTTTTAGGGTAAAATACAATTTAATCTTATAGATGTATAGTTTTGTTAGTAACATAAAGTGGAGTCTAAACTCCTCGATCAAACCCTTTTACTTCTCCACCTATGGAAAAAGATGATTTCATGTTAAATGTTGACCTGACAAAGTTGAATTAAAATTGTATTAATGTGATACTATGGTACACATTTTTTCTTAATCTTAAAATTTATAAATACTTACTTTCCTTTTTGGCGTTGTTTTGTTAAGTGTCAAATTCATACACAATTTTGTTAGCTTGAAAAGTAATCGAGGAATGTAAAAGATAGATATAAAGATAATTAGGTTAACCTTTTGTGTTCATTTTTGTTGTCTGATTTCAGCCTAAGACATGTTCTTCTGGTAAATAATATTAAACTTTATACTAATTCCTTTTCTTTCTTGTTTTGTCCTTTCTTCTCTCTTGTAACCCTTTAATTTGCGAGTCTTACTTTATCAATAAAGTTTGTCAATTCACGTATCAACTTCAACAACATCATTGAAAGGTTGTAAAACGTATTCTTCAATACTTGCAGGAATCTGTAAAACAGCCTTCGTTTTCATACACTAAGTTTTATATCGTGGTACACTTGTTACAGTCTCTGAAAGGGTAACTGTACTGTTTCTTTCCAACTTTATACCTATTGTTAGGAATGACATCGTTCTGTGACAATCTAATCCTTCACAATTTAGAAAGGGTAATCGCTTAATTTACAAAATTCTAAGTTATGAATCAATCATGTACCACAGTTTTGGTTGGCCAGAGTTTCTTCCACCTTGTAATTTCTTCATTGCTATGCAGCTTCCTGATTCCTCCATAAAAGCCATCTATTTCATTTCCTTTTTCTATATGATGCTTCCTATCTATCATGGTTTGTCTCCATTTGGATCCAGCACTGTACTGTGTGAACTCCAAAATCACCATATCTGTCATCAGCACCATTTTTTAATCAGTTAAACAGCTAAAACTTTGTTTAGCAAGTAACACCACCACACGGGGTAACCCATTCTTTGAGTTCATTAGACTACACAGTTTTTAACATAAGGCTATAATAGCTCATATTTTCACCTAATATACAACTTTGATCATGTTTTCCATGCGATGAAAGCACAAATTCAGCAATAACTTAACATACTCTGTCTAATCCTGTTTACTATTGATTTTGTTGAAAGTGAAGAGGGGGAGTGGAACCAGATTCAGTGCAATCAACATTTTGTTAATGCAGGCAATTTGAATATGGCAGCAGCATTAAAAATGTGCAAGTGGATTCTCATACCATTATAGTGACAATGGCAATGGTTCCCATGCCCTTGACATTGTTCCAAATGACCAATAACACCATACCACCAACCTACAATAAAACATCTAAAAGTTTATTCCAACAAGATAATCCAATATATATGTATCATGAACAAATTGATTCTAATATTTGTCCTTACTGAAAGTAAGATAAAATCATTTAGTGGAAATAATTTGGAACTTAGCCAAATAAGTGCACAAGAATGAGACACACCATAAGGGAACTCTTTGTTTCTTCTCCACTGGATCTCAATGTGATCTCCAGGTCTCAAGTCATCCAAACAGTCAGAGATGTGAAGAGCATGTGGAGAAGAGGCAATTGGTGGCACTCTGAGTCGGTCCCATCTTATGTTTTCCTCAGTTGTCCATCTCCCATGAGGTGAATACCTGCCACAAAATAATGGATTTATCAACCTTTAAAAATTTGGGAAAAAAGCCATCCTATAAAGGTTTTGGCATGACATCAAATTCCAACCACGGGGACTGTAGGGCAGGTACCCACATAATCTCAACTTTGAAGGAATCAACTTTTCCACATACCTTGCCAGAAAAGTGTCAGATCGAGAGTCATAGCAAAGTTGGGCATCATAACATGAGAGCATGAACCCAGCATGACCGTTCTGAAAAAGGAAAGTGTGAAACAATTACACAAAATCCCAAAAATAAGAACTACTGTACAGATTACAGAACATTGGCATATAGTCTTTGAGAATTAAAGCAGCATGAAAAGTCATGAATCAGATTTGTGCAACTATTTACCTCGCGGTTGTAGACTTGAGCTGGGAACCAAAACTTGCCACTCTCAAGAGAAAGATACAGAGCCATGAATGAATCTTCCGGTAATGAGCTACTTGACTGTGTTCCCTTTTCTGATTTTATTTTCATCCAAAACAAGGGGCGAAAATCACCATGAAGGAAAGCAAATATTCCTTTCTGATTTTTCTGGTTTGAGATCTTCTCTCTGGTCTTGGAAGCTACATGACATTTCCATTGTCTATAAGCAGCATCACCAAACACTTCGCCCCATTTCCTTTCCATGTGTTTCTTCCATAAATGATCACTTCTACTTGAATCCCTAAGAGATGTGCACACTGCTGCCACACTACATAATTCAGCAGGTGAAAGGTGCCCAAGGATACACTCCAGTGGTAAATCAGGCAAATCCAAGAGAGAAACCTTCCCCTCCTCTTCCTCATTCTCCACCTTCGACACTAAACTGTTATTTTTCAGTGACAGGGCAAGAGAAACCCGAAAAAAACTACAAGGGGTGCTTGTGCTTCCTTTTCTGAGACTAGAAAGTAGCCAACTTGAAAGGCATCCCCAAAACCCAGTTGACCCAATTTTGGTCCCACTCTCCCCTGACGAGAGAGGCTTATTGGCGAAGGACTTGGAAAGGATGAGAAAGGAGACAAAAGATATGAGGACGTAAAGCATTGTAACCGAGGGGTTGTATATCAGAAGGGTCCAAGTCTAGGAATTTGGCAGAGAGATGAGCAAAGCTGAAAATCAAACCAATGATTTCCTCTTAAAGAGGAAAAAGATCCACCAATGGAAGAGTAGAGTGGTGAGGTGATTTGGACAAATGAACAGTTTTGCCTAGCTCAGGGCCTCAATAGACACACACAAGTTGGTTTCAACGAAGAAGTTGTGTAACTACACAACCGACAAGGCTTCCCAGCTGGGTTAGTTAAAGCACTTTCCACATAGAACTCAAAACAATAACGAAGGATGCTCCTTAAAAATGTGTTAGCATCTACACACGGTGAATTCCCACAAAGGAGAGAAACAACATGTACGGGAAGTGGGAGGCAGCTGTTAAGTGATTGATGGAGAGGCCTTGAGAGAGGAAGGGTGGCAAAGCAAAGCAGTATATTGGTTAGATTAGAATGATGATGACACCAAAAAGAGGCACTGGGATCCAAATATAAAACAATAGACCCTGTTTAATGTTTAATGAGACGATGCTGGGAACAACATGGTGTACATTATGAGCCACGTGGGATGTGTTAGGGTGGTGTTGTATAAGTGTACAAATGAATGCAGAGTGAGAGTGAGAGAAATGAATTGAAAAGGAAGAAGAGAAAAGGGTTAATTAGAAGGAAGTGGGGTCATGTAGGCCCTGTTCGCTTTCTTGTTCAAAAGAATTGGCGAGGATGGATTCACTTTTTAGATGGTGTTCGTTTCCAAATATTTGCGAGTTTTAAATCATCGATGATAAGAAGAGATTTCAAGTGATTTAAATTAAATGTCATTTTTACTCTTTTATAATTTTATTAATTTCAATTTTCATATAATGCATAAAATATTATAATAAATTTGTATTTGAATTCAGTTTTGGTTTCGTTATTGAAATAAAAATAAGCATAAATAATAAAATAAATTAATAATATTAACATTAAAAAATTATATTTCAAACAAAAATATTACACTTTACTTAAATAAAATATTATTTCAATTTCTTTATTAGTTTTTATTTTTTTTACTACTTCAAATATTTTTTTACTATTTCAAATATCTTTTACCAATAAATAATTTTTTATTTTTTTTACTACTTCAATTTCTACCCATTACAATTTTAATTTACTATAATTTTTTTAAATTTTTGAAAATAATTTTAATTTTAATTTTTTACTAAATTATAACAATAATCATTATTATTTTATATTACTTTAATAATTAAGAGCATTTTAGTATTTTTTAATTTTTATTAATTAAATAATTTTTTTATCTGTTATATCAATCAAATTTTATATTCATTTTTATTTCATTTATCTTCAAATTCACTCAAACAAATAAAAATTAATTTATTCTCAAATTCATCCATCACTCTTCTTTTGTTCGTCTTTTGAAGTGAACACATTCGTAAAGTTTAATAAGAAGTGGGGCGTGGTTAAGAAAAGAGAGAGAAGAAAAGGACATTTATCTGAAAATGAATGATGGGTTAGTGAAATGCATTAACGTTAGATTGCAGAGGTGGTGGATATGTCACAACAAGAACACAAGTGAGAAGGGTGCCATAAAAGTCTACCTGTTCCTTTACCTAACTCCCACCAAACTCTAGTACTGTCTACCCCAAAGACCCAGACAAGTGATTTCGTGGGATTCTGAATGAGTCCTTACTCATTCCAAGAACCAAAATTTGTGTCCTTCAACTCATTAAGATCTCATAAAATCCACCGTATTTATTGCTGTCATCGCCGAAAGGACACGGGGCCTCTTCCCCTTCCTTTTCCCTCTGATATTTCCCATGCCCTTAACTTCTACTTTCCAACTGCATTCATCTTGCCCAAAACCACCTTGCTTTCTCATTCATTCATAACCATTTATATCATTCATGATAATTACTAATTCTTAGGACAACTATTTTTAAATCAATATCTTTCATAATCTCACTAACTCACACTACTACATTATTCAACTACTTAGAAGACATCATGCAGAGAAACAATTCTTAAATACTTTTAATTTTTCAATATCTTTAATTTTCTCTAAATGCTGCATTTCACACATTACATGTCAAAATACTAACTCCTACCTTTGTATATGTCTTCTTAAACTTTTTTTTCCTCAATAAAGTCTTATCATCCTCTTTAACTAAAATTTCAACCATTTTTTAAATTTTCATTATACAATTCAGCAGAAACATATGTCATATATATACTTTAAGTAAAACTTCATTTATGATATTATTTATATATTAAAAAATATTTATGTAACAAGTGTCTTTTTTTACAAATTTAAGAGGAGATGGTTTTTAATAACAAATATTAAAATTCCAAGTTATACTTCAAGGATATAAATTAAAATTTTAATCATTCAGCTATTTATTTATAAAAGTTACAACATTTTTAGAATAGTTCTTTCTTTGAGTTGTTTTTACCTTCTCTGTAAATTATTATTATTTTAATTAGGTTTCAATAGTTACAGAGTGATTAAATTTAGATTATTTAAGTCAATCGAAATTGGTTTGAAGCAAGCTTTCATGTTCTTCTAGAATCTTTATACATTTTTTTTCTCCTTTTAATTTAATATTCTAGGCTTTCACATGTTGAATCAATAAATAAAGTTGTTATATCAATTAGTTATTTTGATTTGTTAGGTGGAGTTGTTCTTAGTATTTGAATTTTTTTTTTTACAGTTTACAATCTTTTCTTATTTAGAAGTTATTATTATGTGGAGAATAAGTAACTGGTTAAACCATACTTATGAGTTAATTTTAAGTTATTTTCTATAACTTTTAATTGTAAGATAACAACACAATTATTTATTGGATTTTATGTTTTTTTTATTATTAAGATTGAATATGATTTAATTAATTAGTTTTCTTATATGTTGTTAATGCATATATTAATTAATTGATAAATATTTTGTTTGGTTGCAAAACATTATTAATGTTTAAAACATGTCATAATGATTAAGATTTGTTCTTTTTGAGTTGTTTTTTTTCGTAAAATATTTTACTTTTGCTGGTTCTTTGAACTCCAAATTGATTATCTGAGTGGGACTTAAATAGAAACATTTATGATAAGTACAAGTATTATCGTTCAAGCAATAATTTATATAGTCAGTCCTCTTGAACTTTAGGAAGGATTTATTCAACTTTAACAAGGATTCAAAGGAAAAAAGTTTCATGATTGAACTTGGAAACTCAACCAAAACAGATGAAAAGGAAGAAAAAAGGTCAAATGTAAAAACAAATTGGATTAAGGAAAGAAGGTGATTTAAAACACACAATCTAGTTTTATCAATGATAAGTGCAAGAAGGTTCACCACTTTAAAAACTTGTTCAAGATATAAACCAAAAGAAAAAAAATCATACTCAAGACATTAAAAATTCTAAAAAAAAATAAAATAGTTAATTTCATTCAATTTGAAGTGTGAAAAGTATGTGATGGACAACATTTTTATACAAGAACAAGGTAAAAGCTCACTTAAAAAAACCAAGAAAGAAAAAACAAAACTATGGTAGATTCATGTATTTACCATGAAAGCACTGTAAAGTAGATGTTATAATTTTCTCATGAATGAGATGGTTAAATTTATATACATGTTTAACCTTTATATGAATTAGGTAGTTAGGTATGTGAACTTGCTTAACTACCAAAATGATGAGTTAGTTAATTAAAGGCTTAAATGCTTACTTCGTCCTCATATATTAAGAGGTGAATTTCTATTTAGTACCCAGTTTTAAAAATAAAGACATTTAGTCTCTATGTTATGAAAAGTGTATGAATAAGGTCCTATTCGTTAACTTGATAGCAACGACGTTAAGTTCATGCTGATGTGGTTGTACTTTTTCTCTTCTCTCTTCTGCTGTCCAGATTTTTCTCTCTCTTGTTTAGTTTTTTCTTTCATGATTTGTTGAACTTATTCTTTCTTTGTGGACCTTATTCATATAATTTTCATAACAGGGACCCAATGTCTTCATATACAAAACAGAAATTTACCTCTTAACATGGGACGAAGTAAACATTCAAGCCTTAATTAAATTCATGTATCTCCTCAATAAACTTCCTAGAAATTAATTGAAATTTGTGTAAAAATATTTTATTTCCAATTTTTTCTTTAATATGTTTGAATCTTTCTATTTTAAATCTTCTTATTATTTACTTTTTTGCATAATCTTTTTTTTTATTCTCATTATGGTTAATGTATTTTGAAGTTTTTGTCGATAGGGTTCTTTATTAAAGTTATGGCTAAAAGTTTGAGCAAGAAAGATCTTGAAACAATGATCTCTTCTCTTGAATTATCAAAGCCCAAACAACGATTGAATGCTTAAATAATTTGATTCAATGTTGATTTTCTTTCCATTAAGAGTATGTCACTTAAGTATTAGATTTGTCACTTAGACTGTGTTCACTTTGAGGTGATACACTGTTAAGGAGAGAAAGAGAGCGATGGATTAAAAAAATTTCGTGTTCACTTGCGTATTATTGTGAGCGATGAATCGGAGGTAACAGCGAGATTCACGTATTGTAGCATCACTTTCTTAACTTCGATGATTTGCAAGGAAGAAGGGTGATTTGCCTAATCTGCCCTTTTGTGATTTGTTATTATTCTCATACAATAATAAAATATCAAACCACCATAATACTGTGTAATGGATAATTATAACTTCTGTTAATTTTATGCGGTCTACAAAATGAATAAATTTTACTTTCATAACAATTAAATTTATACTTCTTAAAACTAAATTAGATCACAAACAAGTACTATATTTAAAAAAAAATTCATTTCAATCAAGTATAATTTAATTATATTTTTTAAATTATTTTTAATAATTATTCCAAATTTTTAACTTTTAATAAACATTTTTACAATTAAATATAACATTAATAAATATAATTTTATATTACTTTAATACCTAGGGATATTTTGGTAATCTTCAATTTCTACCAATTAAACTAATTTTTTAAAATCGTCACATCAATTAAATCCTACACTAATTCTCACAAACTTCAACCCAAAATTCACTCTCAATTACCTTCAAATCCACTCAAATAAACACACAAAAAAATCACCCTCAAATCCCCTCAAATCCACTCAATCACTCTCCCCCAATCACTCTCCCCCAATTACCTCCAACTAAACACACCCTTAAGTTACATAGGTTGTCTTATAAGAAAACATATAGTTTAAATAAAGACAAGACATAAAAAATTCTATCTTCACTAAAAAATGTCTCATAATACAAAAACTTTTCACTTAAGCAACTTTTTTATTCATGTAATTCTTCTTATATTTATTTAATTTGATAACATTGTTATACTATAAGTGTTATTAATTAATATGAATTAAATATAAGAACAAAAAATGTTGATGTGAAACCACAAATTATTGATGTATAATATTTGAAATTATATATGAATTTAGGGGTGGTAAAATGGGTCATGCATCTTGCCAAAAACGAGGCAGGTCAGGTTGAAATTGTTACCTTGATTCAATCTGTCTAGCCTGCCAAATTGATGGACCGTTTTATTTTTTATTTGTTTTTAATTAAAAATTAAATTAAAAATAATATAAAAGATTAAATTTTTTATATTATGTTTTGTAAATTATAAATAA